GTCAGACTGCAGCATGCTGGATGGAACTCCTGGAAAGGGAGCTGTGGGGGAAAGGGGTGAATCACACAGAAAACGCCATCGGCAACGGGCCAGATGCTACGACACCTTTCCAAGGGCAGGAAGCCAAGCACAACACGCCGCTGCAATCTGCCATGAACAACGCTCCGGTAGTCCTCCGGACATAAGTGCTACTGACACTGAGCTGCCCGACTACTTTTCTTTATAAGCCTTTTGGTACCACTGCATTAGTGCTTGGACGGTATACCGCTTATTATGAAATATTGCAGGCACATCGAAAAGATAGACAATGGCTGGGCATGGTGGCACACACCTGTAATCCCAGCATTTAGGAGGCTGAGGCAGGAGGATTGCCTGAGTTCAAGGCCAGCCTGAGCCACACAGTGAGTTTAAAACCAGGATGGAATACACAGTGAGATCCTATCTCAAGAAAAAAAAATTAAAGACAAGTCCATCACTGACACCCACATTCAAACCTTCCTTTAAGTCATAACAGTGCACAGGAAGTTGATCCTAGATATTCCCATCCTGTTCCCACAGAGAAGTGGGTCCTTTTCATTCGCTATTTTTGGGGGCTTTTGTTGTTGTTGTTGTTGTTTTGATTTTGGTTTTCTGAACCAGGGCCTCCCTGTGTAGTTCAGGCTGGCACTGAACTCACTCTGTAGCCCAGGCTGGCCTTGAACTTGTGGTGATCCTCCTGCCTCAGCCTCCCAAGGACTGGGATTACAGATGTGCACCACCACACCCAGCTCTGCTCATTATTGCTGCACCCCGTGGCCAGACCAGATGGGTCTCTGTGGTCCCCGTGCACGGCCCTCCTGAACCCCCTGCTCTCTGCCCCGCAGCTGGCTCTGGCCAACGGGTACGGGGGCAGAGGACGTAAGGGCAGGAGAAGCCAGGCACGGGCCGGTGTCTCCTGCACGGACAGCTTCATCACTACCCACCGCAGCTCCCAACAGCAGCTCCTCTGGCCGGGAGAGGACCCCTCCAAGCTCAGGCACCCCCAGCCCCACCTCCTGTCCCTCCCACACCTGTAGATCACCCCTTCTCCTCAGGGAGATGTGGCCATGCCATCTGCTTCCTGCCAGCCTGTGGCGCTGTGTGGCCTTCATCCTTCCCCTGCAAGCCTTCACACTTGTACATGGTACGGTGGTATCATGGTATCGACGCATACCTTCCCACCTTTTTCTTTCCTTTGCCCCCCCCTTTTATTTTTCTTTTTTGCAGTACTGGAGATTGAACCCAGCTGTCACACCAAGCTCCCCACCCTCAGCCCTTTTTTGGTACTGAGACAGGGTCACACTAAGTCACTAAGCAGCCCAAACTGATTGAAATTTGCAATTCTCCTGCCTCAGCCTCCCAAGTGCAAGGATTACAGGCGTGCACCACCTCGCCTGGCTGGATATGTATTACTTATAAAAATGCAGACTGGATTGCATTTGGATGAAAGAAAAGAATAAAGCATTACACTAACATGAGCTGGGAGCCCCAAGCGGCCTTCCCATGTGTCTAACTGCACCCTGACAGGCAGGAGGCTGCTGACAGGAAAGTTTCCGATGGAGGAGTCCGAGAGCTCAGCCTCTCCTGTCCCCTGAGTCCCCACGTGCAGCCCCGTGGGAAGGTAAGGTTGAAGACTCCAGCTCCCTGCACGGCTGTGGAACATCTGAGATGCTTTCCTAACACAAACAGGCCGAGTGGGACTGGGGATTTAGCTCAGTGGCACAGCACCTGCCTGGCAAGGTTAAGGTCCTGAGTTCAACTCCCGGTACCAGGGGGAAAAGAAAAAAAAAAAAAAAAAAAAAACACAGGCCGAGTGCAGACACCAGCACTGAGGACTCCTGAGCCAACGTCCCTGTCGAGACTTGTGAGACGTAATCCCAGCACTCAGGAGGCTGAGGCAGGAAGAGCACCGAGAATCTCCCAGACCCACAGGCAGGGCTCCCAGCCACACGCTGTACACGTGGGATCCAGAACCCACGTGACTGAGTCACTCGAATCTGCCAGAGCCCAAATCCAAGGCTGCCACTCAAGAGCTGAGTTTGCGGAGCGCTCCGTGCGTCAGTTTCTCAGCTGTGAAAGGCGAGGTATGTGTGAGCGCTGCCCTGAAGACTGACTTCAGTGAAATCAGCCCCCAGGCCCCGAGCGCTCCCTCCGCCTCTGTGGGCCGCACCCTGGCTCACAGTTTGGGAATCACAGGTGCAAACAATTCCTGTTACACTCCCCTCCCCCGAAACAGATGCTTGCCCGGCACCCCTTCCTTCTCTGCTCTCTACGTCTAGTATTTGATTTCTCTTTATAGGATTCACACATGGACACCCTTACTGCACGTTCGGGGGCGGCACAAGTCCTGCTCCTGGGCTCCAGAGGCAGACGTGACCAAGGCCCGATGACCCAGCACCGCGGTGACTGGGTAAGGGATAATCCCACGACCAGAGCTGTGGCGATGAGAGCTACTGCTCACTCCGGCTGAAACCAAAAGGTGAGGGAGAGACGTGTCTGCCTGCTTTGCTAGGTTGGTAAGATGTTGGCCTGGGGCTGCCTGAGGCCAGGTGTGCCAAAACAGGGCAGAGTGCCCCAGGGGAGGTCACAGGAGAGACACAAGACAGGTGCGCTTCTGGATGCAGCCATGCCTGAAGCCACACACCACTGGGCTTCTCAACCTATGAGCCAATAATCAACTTTCTTTGCTTAAAACCCCGGGTTTCTGTCACTTGCAACTAAGAGTCCTGACCAACACACTGTGTCAAAGTTCTATACAAATGAGAGGAAATCCAGCAAGTTCAATAGTTTTCTTCTAAATCTAAGCATCTCAAGATCATTTTTGAACCCACTGTATTAAGAAAACAAAAAGCATTTGAGTCAGACAGGAGGCCTGGGTTCAAATTCTGCTCATTGCTGGGTGTAATGGCACACAACTATAATCTCAGTTCTCTGGAGGCTGGGGCAGGAGGATTGCTGGGAGTTTGAGGCCAGCCTGAGCTACGTAGTAAGTCCAAGGCCAGGCTGACCTATGTAGTGAGACCCTGTCTCAAAAGACCAAAAAAAAAAAAAAAAAAAACCTACTCCTATTAATAATAATTCTGGCTCCATGACTCCCAAGTGCTTAGCCTCTCAGCTTCAATCTCCTATCTGTAAGATGGAGGATTGTTTAGTTGCCATGAGACCATCCATGTATCACTTGGTTTGCTGCCAGTTGCTATCACCATTGTCAGCCTTTGTCCTTTGTTTTATAAATAAATAAACTAAAGCTGGGCGCAGTGGCCTGTGTCTTTAATCCCAGCACTCTGGGAGGCTGAGGCAGGAAGATGGCATGGTCAGGAAACTCAAGCTTCAAGATACCCTGCCTCAGGTGAGGTATCAGATAGTGGCAGAGCTAGGACCTGAACCCAGGAATCTTGCATGCTGGTCCAGTGTTCTTTTCACACCACCTGTCTAAAGAAAGAAGCCCACACTGGGTGTGGCGGCGCACCCCTGTAATCCTAGCCCTTGAGAGGCTGAGGCAGGAAGATCACCCTGAGTTTTGAGGCCAGCCAAGGCTACAAGTGAATTCAAGGTCAGCCTAAATAATACAGCAAGACCCTGTCTCAAAAAGTTGAAAAAAGAAAGATGGAAGAGAAACAAAGAAGCCCCTAGGGAGCAGTGCTTAAGACTTTGGTGTTTAGCTGCCTGAGTTCGAATCCTGACTCCAACACTTAGGAACCATGTGACCTTAAGTAACCTACCTAACCTCTATAGAATGGGATAATATGGTTTTTGTTTTGTTTTGCTTTTGATACAAGAATCGAACTTAGGACCTTGAGCTTACCAGGCAGGTACTGTGCCACTGAGCTGAATCCCCGGCCCAATATGGTGTTTCAATGAAACAGTACTCAACTTCCTGCTTAAAGCCCACCTTCCTGACGTGCTTTTGTTGTTGTTGTTGTATGGCCATGCCAGGGACTGAACCGAGCACGCAGCAGCCAGAGGGATGTCCATTTCAGCAAAACCCAAGCCTTCATAAAGCCCCACAAGGCCCCGTAGGCCTGCCAGGCCAGGCTCCAGGGAAGGAACCTTGGGCCACCTCTGTCCTAGGCTGGGAGGGACAGGCTCAGGTTTCCAGTGACGCAGGCAGGAACTGTTCATCACGTCACCTGCCAATGTGACAGTGGTGACCTTCGAGGGTCACAGCCCAGGCCAGGGGGCCAGGCACGTGCCGGCTGCAGAACAATGCTCAGCTTGCCAAAAGCCCCAATCAGCCAAAACCAAGTCCTCACGGTGACAAGGCTCAGCTGTCCCCACAGGCCAGCAGGGCGCTGACAGACCCGAATCACAATCCAGAGAAAAGTGACCCTTCCCCCTGAACAGTCCCAGGCTGGCCCTGGGGTTTTCTGTAGGGGAAGGGAGATTCCAAAGACCTTTCAGGTCCTCCAGGGTTTGAGAATTAAACTTCCTCTTTCCTTCATTTCACAAGGGCAGGAGAGGTAAAGCAGAGAAAAAGGCATCACCCAGTCAGAGAGACACGGGCACATGTAGGGAAATCCAGACAGACTAGGATGCTCTGCTGAAAAAAAGTCCTCTGTAAGCCAGGTGTGGTGGTGCATGCCTGTGATCCCAGCACTTGGGAGGCTGAGGCAGGAGGAGCACCGTGAGTTTGAGGCCTGCCTGGGCTACATAGTGAGCTCAAGGCCTGACTACATAGGGAAATCCAGTCTCCAAAATGAAACAAAACAACAACAAAAATAGGGTCCTTCCCATTGGTTTGTTTTTTTTTGTTTTTTTTTTTTTTTGCAGGGGGGGTTCCAGAACCTGGAATCCAACTCATGACCTTGTGCTTGCCAGGCAGGCAATGTGCCGCTGAGCTAAATCCCCAGCAGGGTCGTTCCCATTGTTAACCTTCTTAGGTGCAGCACCCTCACCCCTACCCGAAAGCACATGTCCTCCTTGTCACCCGCTAAATGTTTCCTACTACAGTCTGCACCACTCCCAGTGTGCGCCCCACTCACCATGCACAGCTCCACTCGTCCAGCTCAGAGCTCCCCTATTTCACAGCAGGGAGCAGGTGGGGAGACAGCGGGGCCCCCCACATTTCAACAATTAGGTTTGGTTCTATCAATCAGCCTGGCCGAGCTTCTGCTTCCTTAGCTGGGAACAGAGGTGGAGATGTGCTTTTGTTAGCCGGGCCTGGTCGTGCATGCCTGTAATCCCAGCACTCGGGAGGCTGAGGCAGGAGGATCATTGTGAGTTCAAGACCAGCCTGGGCTACAAAGTGAGCTCAAGGCCAGCCTGAACTG